AACTAAGTACATACTCACACCACACAACAGCCACAATGTAAGCCGTTAGGCCATAGAGGTCGTGATCAAATTTGATTTTTTTTATATAAATTTTCTTTATTTATACATGTGTAATGTTACGAAAATGATACAAAGTATTTCTTCATCGAATAACCTTGTGCGCATCGAATAGCAATAATTAAATCATTGCTATAGAAACACTGGAAGGTGTTTCTAATTATGGTAAGTACGTGGAAGTTCCAAATGAAATTATTATTGATTATGGAATTCTGTCGTCTACTAACTAAAACGAAATTATGTTATTAAATATCCATTTTAAACACCATAAGATAGAGCTCGATATTCGCTATTTAAAAACATTTAAAATTAGTTAATTTTTCCGATTTATCAAGACTTACCCTAATGGATAATAGCTAAAACATGGTTATACAATTTCGATATTCTAAAACTGGTTTACGATTTTTGATGACATCTCAAAAAATATTTTGTTACGGCAGAATTTTGCAATTGGTTCCGAAGAAACGACTGCTGATTCTTGTAAAGATCAGAACACAACCCATTTGCTACCCACATGTGAGAAATGCAAAGACTGCTGTAGATGCGTGCACACACGGAAAGCCGCCTACGTAGATTCTTTTACACCAGTTGTCAGATATGACACATTATGTTCAATGTTTGCATTTGGGATTGAAAATGACATGGACATCAAATATATTGTATACTTCATTTCAATCCATTTTAAACAAAAGTTAACAAACAATTCACTGACTCGACCATAGACGATTTAGTGATGGCCAATTTTACTGTCGGATACCCTCACACGTTGGCATTATTGGTAACGAGAAGGTAGATTCACTTGCTAAGCGAGGTTATTGTACTGGCGATACGATATCTGTTTTGCCCTATTATACAGATTGTTTGTATAACATTAAAACTTATTGCCACCAGCTGTGGAAGGAATACTTTGATGAGATATCCAAAGAAAAAGGTATCTGGTTCAAAACAATTCCACCTGAGCCACTGGAAGTTCCATGGATTGATAACTGTCTGATAAATAGACTTGGCGTTGAGGTCACATTCCTTCAAAGAAGTTTACCATTTTGATGGGCATTACACCAACTCCTTATTGTAGCAATTGCGGCGTCATTGAAGACATTTACCACGTTTTGATGGAATGTGTTCGGACCGAGAGACTCAGGAGACAGTTGGGCAGTATAGTTAACATACGGCAGACTGGGTGGTGTAACAGTATACTCGCCGTTCCGTCGTCGAACGAAGCCAAAATACTGTACAAAATATATTTAGATAGTCTTAATCTAGGTTAGATGTATAAATTAAGTAGCTTTACGGAGCGACATTACTATTAAAATACACAGTAAAGCTCCTTAAATTTAGAAAAAATAAAAAAAAAATACTGTCAACTACAAAACCACCTTTAATTGAATGAACTGAATGATTTTTTCCATACAGCGCTATGCAACCATAGACTAATCTTTAATTTAAAAATAACCTGTGTTTTTGACAACCATATTTCAAATACGATTTTACGATGTAATTCGAATGAATGTTTTTGGAAAAAGTGGAAGATATCAAGTCAAAATCTTTGAAATATACGTGATAGTATTACTTATTATTATTTTCGAAATTCAACCAAACCGTTTTGTTTACATTTCGTTTAAAATGGATTAGAACAGACTAAAGATGTTAATAATACGGCATTCCTTAATGGAGATCGTAATGAATGCATTTACATGCCCAAGGAGCACACTTTATACGCCTTAAAACTGTTATATATATAAACAGTTAAAACAGCAATATGGTATTGATTTAGATAATAGTTCTCTATAAATGGTTTTAGAAAAAAGAAATTGTTCTTATAGACTTATTTCACTCAAGTCAAAATTTTAACACCTTCTTAATATCAAACAACTTAATTAAGTGTAATCTCTCTTAAGATTTACTCTTATAGTCTTTATTTTAAGTTCATCTGTAGAACAACTGATTATTTTTAGTAAAATTGTTCTATACACATCCAGTAAAGTCTATTAATACTCTAAAAACTAGTGTTCTTAAGTTTATTCTAGATATATTTAATGTATAGACATTCTGTAGTGTTTGTACTTATTGACAAACACGTTATAGCCCGTCTTCAGTAGGTTTTATTTTAAAAAATACTACAATTAGGGTTTTTACTCTATTTTTTTTTAACGCTCACACTCAACATATCCCCGCACAAGAGAAACCCTGAGTCGCGGGTACCATGGACACACATAGACAACCACAAATTACACCCAAACTCACGAGAGAAATAAATGTAGGCCATACAAATATTTCTCCCGGCCCGGGAATCGAACCTGGGACCTCTGCGTGGTAACCGTTCAGCCACAGAGGCAGTTTGTAACTTTGTAATTGGACGTTGTAAGAGTTCATGCAAAATGGACAAAGTAAAGAATATTAAAAGGTCTGGTGGAGGTGGTAAACCTTGGATATTAAGTCACATCATTCGATACAATCAGCATTGCCAATGCCAATTGTTCAAAATCCACAAAAATCACGGTTAAAATCCTCAAATTTGGGGAGAGCAAAGTTCATATTCCCCACAAATTCCCCACATCTCGAATTTTCATTATTTATTAGAAATACATCGCTTAAAAATATAATAAAGAATTAAGATACTCAAAATGCAATTTTGAGTATTCAAAATGTAATAATCTATTACGTTTGCTGTGAATGTAAACAGAATATAAAAAGCAAAACTAATTATAAAATTAGATGACTTTAAATCGTTTATTTATTTTAATAATAATAATAATAATAACGTACACACTCAACATAGCCCCTCACTAGGGAAACCCTGTGTCGCGGGTGCCATGGACATACACGTAGGCAACCACAAATTACATCCAAACTCACGAGAGAAATAAATGTAGGCCATACAAATATTTCTCCCGACCCGGGAATCGAACCTGGGACCTCTGCTTGGCAGTCCGGCATGATAACCGTTCGGCCACGGAGGCAGTTATATTAATTATAATATTAATTAGATTCAACATTAATCTGTAATAAGTCTGAACAAAAAATCATTTTTCTTTGCCTTACAAAATTAAGTACATTGATTATTTCTTGTGCATTTGGTGACACTATGTTAATAATCAATGAGTTACGACCTATATTTAATATTTAAAGTTGACGAGTGGTAAGTTGTGGTGTGGAAGTACCAACTGCTCGGCTTTGTTTATCAATCGCTGAATTCAATAGCTGATTTCGTTTTGCTTCATACCGGGGACCGGCCTAAGCGGGAGAAAGAATCGCGAACTCAACACGCACCGACTGGTAATTTTACAATTCAGAACCAAGAGCTCTAGTAATAATTCTATTTAAGCTGCTTGTTAATAATACGAGGGATGTGCGATGTTGAATAACACGTCGATATAGTCCATCGCAGTGTTTCTAACAGTAACGATCAAACTAGCGATGCATCAGCAATTGATTGATTAAACAAAATAATAAAATGTTAGAATCCCCACATTTTCCTCACATAGCGCCAATCCCCACAAAACCCCCAATCTAGTTGAAACTCCCCATAATTTGGGGAATTCCCCACAAATTCGCAACGCTTGATACAATAGTCGTAATTCGCACTCGGGCCGGTCATTTGTTTGTTGACAAATAAATAAACATTGTGAAGTAATTCCGTGTTGTAAAATGATAAAAACAATTGAAATGAGCGCGTAAACTACTGTACTTCAATGTTGTGTATGTGTATTGTGCCGTCTATCAATATAATATAGTGAAATCATTGCGTGAAATGTGGTTGGCGTGAAGAAATAACCTCAATTTTGTAATGAAAATTTTATTTCTTCCAACATAAGTTAGGTATGTCATTAAAATATTCCTTATATTTATATGATAGGGAATTTAATAACCTTTCTAGTCATATATAACACATTCCATATAATTATACAGAATAACGTTTTTTTGCGACAAGTTGGATTTTTTCAATTGTTGTTTTGACCTAGTGTTTTGAAAAGATCTATAACTTATAAAGTCTTCTATAACTTTATAAAGGTTTTGTAATACTGTCAAAAGAAAAAATCGCTTAGAAACATCGCGTTTTGTAGATAATCATAAAAACTTCATAGAAGTGAATGTACTTCTATAAGATCAACTACACTAAAGCAAATAAAAATAATCTTTTCGTATTCTAAAGTTTTTCTATAGATAAAGCTATAGACAAAATGCTCCCAACTGTGTTTTGAAAAAAACTTTAAATTCTTATCGCCATTTTTATTTTTAAAGAATGACTATGAAGTAGCAAAAAGTAAATCTAAGTTGAAATTAGCTTCAAGAAGCCTAGAACTTCTTGGAAATGGTTTGTTTTGTGAGTTATTTTGTGTATTTAAGCTTTCTATAAATATTTAAAACCGAAAATCGATAACTGTATTTTTATTAAGTTTATATTTTATACATAAATATTTAAAATTTAGCGAGCGCATTACTTTTATGGCAGGTTTTACATCACTTTTCAAAAGTCATTAATATTATATCTAATTTCGCCATGTTGCAATTTTGATAGTTTATATTTTATAAGCCATTAAACTTGAAATCTATTAGTTTTAAGAGAATTGCGTCTTATATTTGCAACGCTTTAGTATTTTGGTTTTAAAATAGCATTACTAAGAAAACTATCATGGACTATAAATTATCTAAAAACTGTCTACAAGACTAAATAAAAACTGTCTACATTCTACAAATGGTCTTGTAGCATTCTAGAAGGGTTACTTGAGAAAAAATATAAAAATCACTCTTAAAACTACCTACAGGTAGTTTCTCGAAGCATTCTTGTGATCTACGAATAAAGTTGTGCCCACTTTTACTTTAAATTATCTAGAAACCTTCTTCGAGATATCTTGAGGGAATTTGAACTCTTAAAATATTCAATCGAATTAGATATCTTATAGTATATATTTAGATATGGTTGTGCTGCTTGGGTGGGGCTATCTACTGGATTTGAAATTGAGGGACAGAACAAAGTTTGTTTACTCAAGAAGAGTTTATATGGACTCAAACAAGCCAACAGACCCTGGAATTATAAAGTATACACAAAGTTTCAATTAGCAATGGTTATGGACAATGTTCCCACAATATAAGTTTAATGTTCGTATTTGTATTACAAGGTTTTGTCTTTACAGTATTTTTCTTTAAACTAACATATGTACATTTCACTGGCAAAATAAAGTCCTAACTCTTAATTAGATTAGTATATTTAGACAGAGAAATATATTTCAATCAGAATCCATTAAATGATACGGTGCATGACTTAATTGTTAACTTATTTAACTTAAACTGTAGCTTAAACTTCCTCAGGTGTCATAGCTTCCAACCTAAGCCTTTCCTCTTCCTCAGCCGCAAATCTAGCACCACGCTCCATCAGCTCCTCGTCACTGGGGAACTCTACAAGGGTGTTGGCATCCTTCATGTTGACTTCAGTGTTCCAAGCACCGGGGCAGTTGTACAGTCTGTTAATCCTCTGGTAGTCCCAGTTTGTGATGGTGGTGAGTTGACCCATCTGGTTTCCGCCAGCCTGTAGCAAATATAAGTTTTACAACTGCTCAGCATCTACAAATCGGAAGGCTTTACTGCTCAGTTGTAGTTTGACGTTCTGGACCCCGATTCAGTCGATATTTTAACCGAATCGTTCGATTAGATATTGTTCTCGAATCGAAGGGCGCTTTCCGAGCTATTCAGAACATTCGAGTTAAACGTCGATATCGTTATCCAACAGCGTTTACGGAGTTGGTCGGTGAAATAGATTTTAAGAAAAATGAAAATCCTTTTATACATTTTTAAGGTTTTAAAGGCCTAAAATATAAGAATGCATCATTGACTTACAATTATATGGACGTCGGGTCCGCGTTAAAAAGTGTCCGAAATTATTGGGCGTTAAAATCGTATACAGAGCGTCATTAGTCTTCGTTTGTTCGACTGACAGCGAAGCAAGCAAAATTAGACAGTACTGCGATGACATTACAATTTAAATTGAACGTTTTAGCTTTTTCATATTGCTTTACGTGTCACTACATTTAAATAGGTTGACTTGGGACATTTTTTCGTGGTTCTTGTATTACACCCGTCGTCCATTTATTTGTAAGTCAATGGAATGCATTAAAATAAACTATTAAATTAAATTAAATTAAATCCAGACTTTATTCGAAACAATTAGAGATTTCCATATTGCATTCTTGCTTTGTAAACAATAGGACGACGGTAACTTTAATTCGATACCTGTGTTCTGAATAACGTTCGCAGCCTTTGCCGGTCGAGACGTTCGAGTAATCGTACGGGTATGACGTCATTTCGGTTCGGTTTCGAATACGACAGTTTGACGTTCGATTCGGGTGTTGTGAATAAAAAATGAAAAGAAATCGTACGATATCAAGTCGAATCAGCTGACAACTGAGTTATCGAAAGGTTCTGAATCGACTTGCTGGCCCTGTACTCTATCCGTCCTGAACAATTATTATTAGTGTCAAATAAGTAATACTCGACCAAGTTAAAAACGCACGATGCGAAAGAAGCTTCATACTTGCCTCGGCTTCCGTGGTCGAGTGGCTTGCACACCGGTTTTCATGGTGTCGCCATTTCTGCGTTCCCGGGTTCGATCTCCGGCCGGGTCAGTGTAGAAAACTAACTTTTCTATATTGTCTCAGGTCTGGGTGTTTGCGATACCATCATTGTTTCCAATTTCCCTAACACAACTGCTTTAGCTACTTACTTTCGAATCAGAGCATGATAGTTTCATATCAAACGAACAGTCACAAGTGAGGCAAAAATCAAATTCATGTAGGCTAGTTTTAGTAGTAGGTTAATTTTCGGTTTTAGTGAATATTTATTTAGAAAATACAAGTTGAAACGCGTTACTTCCTTGTGGAATGTGATGTTAGTACTCGTATCTATTTTGTTTGTCTGACGTATTTTTATACTCATTTATCGCATATTTCGTCATTTTTAGCTAAAATTCTTGATCTGTTCGCGGTGCAAGTTGACCTTGAGCACTGAAGGCCCGCCCGCTCGTGTAGGCCCTTTTGGCGCGCTTCAATTTGCCTCACTTAGCGTGTGCGGACTAGGTTTCTATGCGTTATTATTCTAAGATGCTAAGTATATCTAATACACTTGGCATTATCTTGATATTTGGTCAAATATTATTTATTTCACAGTAATTCTTTCGGACGGATGTCGGATAGTGACGGGACGAACAATTAAGTCGTGCGCCTGATGGTAACACGACTGTTCATAACAGTTGCAATGCCATGCAGACCTTTAAAACACAAAGATCTACCCGTCACCTTTACCCTTCATAACCGAAACGCAGTAACGCTTAAATATATGCTTGGCGGCAGAAATAGGTAAGGTGGCAGTACTTCCCTGGACAAACTCTTTCACAAGGAGCTCTACTGCTACAATTTATGATTATATACACACATCAAAAAAAGTTTGCGATCACTTTGAAAAACTGAAATCTTTTTTGTTACTGTAGATTATATTATGATTTTTTCTTCTTTTTAGACTCTTTATTTAAAAATAAATTAGAACATAAAACAATGACCCCGTTCAATTGTTTTTTCATATAAAAAGGCTTTCAGTCCTAGCTTACGCTCATTCAGAAATCTGATTTAGTCAATTATAAGCGATTCAAGATATTTTTCGCGGAAAGTTGTGATTGAAAAAATGCCAAGAGGATTATCAGAGGTTTTACGAGCTAGAATAGTAACTTTGAGGGAAGAAGGATACACCACGAGAGTAATAGCACGCAGACTTGCTATATCCCAATCCTGTGTCGTGGCTACGTTGCAGAGGTATCACGGAATGGGGAATTTAGCTGACCGACCCCGCAGCGGTCGCCCAACTGTTTTGACAGCTGCCCAAAAGCGCTATATTAGATTGCTGGCAGCCCGTGATCCAACAATCAACGCCACTAAAATAAAAGCAGAAGTCAGGGCCGCCTCTGGGCTTGAATTTAGCACGCAGACCGTTCGCAATTGCTTGCACCAGGCTGGATTACGAGCACGGAGGTCTTGGCGAGCTCCGCTCAATTCCCGGCAACGTCAACAACGAAGATTGCAGTGGGCTAGACTTCGGCAAAATGAAGAAGGTGAGGACGAAAACATTTGGCAAAACTGTCTCTTCGTTGACGAATCCCGAATCAGCACTCATCCAGATAACCGACGTGTCCGTGTCTGGAGAATACCAGGCGACCGTGAAAGACAAAGAACTGCCACTGGAACAGTTCAGCAAGGCGGAAAATCGGTGTCCTTTTGGGGTGGCATTATGATTGGAGCTAGAACGCCTTTGATCCCGTATCGGGGCTTCATGACAGCAGACATGTACAAAGCAGTTGCTATTGATGATATCGTCAGACCATTCCGAGTAAACCAAGGGCACCAATTTGTACTGGTCGATGATAATGCGCCCGCACATCGAGCTCAACGAGTCAATGCTGCTCTTCAAGAATACGATATCACACGATTAGACTGGCCTGCCGGCTCGCCCGACTTAAACCCAATAGAGCACGCGTGGGATGCTCTTAAACGAGCAGTATGGAACCGTGAGCCACGTCCCCAGACAGTTCCAGAGCTCAGGGAAGCCGCTATTGAAGAATGGGATAGGTTACCCCAGGAAATGCTGGATAACTTGATCCTCAGCATGCCCAGGAGGATCTTCGCATGTATTCGAGCCAGGGGAGGAGTTATTTTATATTGAATTCACACCTTTTAATAATAAATTGTTGTTTAAGTTTAATTAAACAGTCTTTTTCTTTCTATGAAATTTCTATCACTATTACATTATGATTAATGGCTCAATTTTTTAAAATAAATAATAAAAAATAGTTTTATATTTTAATTTCAAACAGGGTATTCCTATTTAAAGAAAGCATACAACATAGATTTTTTCTTGATAAAGTTAAATTTAAAGAATTATAGGAGCTTATGCTATTGATCGCAAACTTTTTTTGATGTGTGTATCTTGTAGACTTACTTGACGAGCTACAATAGTGGGTTGGCCATTTCGACTGAAAGCAGTTGGGCCATAGTGCTGGTTGCTGGCGTATTCGTAAGGCAGACCCAACATGTTGGAGTATTGAGTCGGTAACAAATTGAAGTTGTGCTCCATACCTGGAATATGAAGAAATAGAACCTCACTATAAACCAGTCTTCAGATTTGAAGATTTTTTTTATTATAAAGATATAAATACGCGTTAGACCTTCTTGTCACCTGATGGAAAGTGACGATGAGGTCGACGATGGAGCATGCACACCTAAAGGTCGAAACATAAAACAGCGATACGACGTCGCATCCATGTAGCTACCTAGTTTAAAAAATTACATTTGACGATGGTCGAAGGAATGGTTCGGGTGAACCATGGCAATGAGATGCTTTGCCGTATCGCAGCAATTTGCGTCGCAGTTTACTGCGTTGCGAATCCGCATCGCGCCGGTTCGCAGTTTTGTGTTTCGACCCTAAACAACGTCTATTCACTCTCGCCTTTCTTCTTATCTGTAATAATTGCCATCGTGGGGCAAGGATTTGGCAATCGGCGTAAGGTATTCGCCGGTTGTTGCCCGTGGTACGCCATACGTACAGGTAAAGAATGCATCGAGTATATAACCAGAAATAGAGACGAAATGACATTTAATTTGTTTGAAAAGTATTCTGCCAAATCATTACTGTACAGTTGCGCTCCGATTGGCCAGCCCGAATTCGAAACAATTGACGGGTATCGTCAATTATTTCATTTCGAAGCGACCAGTTTATCTTGTCCTTTGCTATAATGGACGAAAATTGAAAAATTACATATTTAATATTTAACTACCGATGAAACGTGATTCCGTTTGTTTTATAATTAGACGTTTTTTTGTTTTTCCCACACCACTGAATGGAACAGCCCCCATTGTTATAGATATTATCTTTATTACAATATATACAGAATATTTTTAGAATATACAGAGACGTACATACAGGTCAGTTGTTGGCGATGTACTATTTCAGGTTTCTGATTTGTGACTTCAGCGTAAACGAAGGTTGATATTTAAAAGTGATATAAAGTCCCTTTGCCTGATGAGTTGTCAGGGGTGGTATTTCGTCTTTATTTCTGATTATGAACTCGATAAGAGAATGGTAGGCGCCTAGAAAAAGCCCGAGTTATACTATTTATGCCATACAAATGTAAAAGCGTAACGCCTCGTGTCAATCCTTGGAATATCCACAACACAGGAGTAGAATCATAGCCTACTACAGATTTTTTACTCGCTACAGTCTCGGTCGTAAAACATCAGAGCGGGACAACAATATTGCAATATCTTTCTCTCGCCTGCTTAGTGACATATGCATTGGTTTGACATAGCAGTGTTGTTTTCGACATATGTTGAACACTAACCGGGTTGTACGTTGTGAAGATTAATGCTGACCCAGTCGTTCCTGACGCGAGCCTGGTGCATGTGGTTGAATCCAGCGTTGTGGCCAAACTCGTGGAAGATGACGCTACGATGTAGGCAACCGTTGGGAGCGAGATTGTGTGTATGAGCACCCATGTTTTGATAGTACCCCACGTTGGCATAGCACCCGTTGCTTTGGTCCTTGAATATTTAATACGGGTTAACATTTCGATTTTCGACTAAGGCCGTGGTAGTCTTAAGAGAGTTTACGCACTACGTCCGGTTCATATCAGTTCCGAATCCGAGAAATGACGGTCCGAAATGTCACATTGATCATTTTATCTCTAAGTGTATAAGCGATATTCATATTTTCTAGATTTGAATCGGACTTAATGCACAAGCGACACCCGAAGTGGGTCAGAGTCTTCTAGATTTGTAGAATCTCGGATCCCAAACGCGCTAGCGGTTTGACTTATAGCCTCTCCAGCAGAGGCCGTGGGTTCGAATTCGTCCTCGCACCTCTGAATTTTCGGAATTTATGTGCCATGTTTACCATGAGCTTTTCCGTGAAGGAAGGATAAAATCTAGATGTCGAAGAAGGTTCATAACCGTCTCTCGTAAAACGTGTGAAGTCTCCAATCCGTATTAAGCCGAACTATTTACCATCGCCTGAAAGGAGACCATGTACGCAGTGGGCTGTGTAAATGGGATGAGGATGATGTTTTTATTATAGTCTGCCTTTTTTGAAGACAAAGTAAAATGACATTTGCAACGTTGCCAGTTTTCATAAAATTTTAAATAGTCATGTAGTTGTTGCATCGATAGATTGTGCAAAAAGATATAATTTTGCCAAAAATACTGAATCGTGAATGTTACGACGTTCTCATGATTATTAATTGCGATAATTGCCTTCTCCATTTTTATTTCGACAGTTGGTCTAAGGGAATCGAAATCAAATTTCATTCATTTAAATTTGAACAAGAACAGGTGGAAAGTATACAGACAATCGGACCGGTAATACAATCGAATGCTATTTCCGACTTGGAATTGACGTGACGTGTATTGAGTGTTCATACGATTGTGGTACGAGCGCCTTCCGGTAGTCGGATCAAACTATCGGATGGAAAAATCGGACGTGTATTCCCGCACTAAAGGGCTGTTTTGCCGAAGCGCCATCTTTGAGAAATCCATGAAAGTTTTTTTACGCTCAACCTTTACAGCTACTGTTGAAATTACTTTTTACTTAGCACTAGTTAGTATTGATTAACATTTTGAATTCGATGATTTTAAACGTGGCAAAAATAAAAAGTCACAATTTTTAAGTTTAATTACGGGCGCGAAAAACTGGAAAGAAAGAATCATTGCTTACTGTAATCCTGACGAAATCGCGCTGGGATCCGCGCTGGACGAATCGGATGCAAGTCCTGTCGTGGTACATGGTCATCACACCACGGATGAGGTTCTGGTTATTGGCAGCTGGAACGACATTGCTGACGTAAAAAAATTGTATTTGCGGCAGTGGCAAAATACAAGGAAAGAGAATGGTAGAAAGATGGAGGATATCCTGACTCAGAAACTTAGATAGTGGTTCAATAGGAACACCCGATAATTATTCAATGCTGTAGTGTCCCAGGTTCAGATTGCCATTATAATCGCCGACCTTCATTAGAAGATGGCACATGAAGAAGAGAAGGCACTGTAGACTATATTAATATGTGGAAATTGTATGTACGTATGTATGTATGCATGTAAACACTTCATTATGCTACAACAAAGACATTGTAGTAGTTACTAATATGCGTTTATTGAAATACGATTTCCCGTAAAGTATAATTCCTTTATCAATAAACATTGTACCTTGTTTTACTGTTCCATCCTGTCATGTTCGTTGTCCTTGTTTGGCCGATTTGTTCATGAATACAGTGTAACGTTTAGATATATAGATAGATAAGATTTATTCAACGCTAACACACATTACATCTACATAGTTCTTACAATCAAAGAAACCAGTCATTTGTAACTCACAAAATTTACCAGAACCTAAATCTGACCAATTTTGTATTGGAAAGGCCCTGGCTTAGCAAAGATGCTGTAGACCTTGATAGACTAGGAACAGCTCTGTTATTGCACCAGTACCAATCGGTGAGCGATCGCATTCATAGGACCATGTCATCAATAAAAATAAAAAAGTAATTGAAATATTCTCTTCATTTTTCCTTTGAATGTTTTTGTGTCCTTTTCTCCTTTGATTTAAAGAGTACTTGTAGATTTGAGTAACTTACTGTGTCCAGCGAACTGAAAAACGATATTTCTGCCGGGCCATAGTCGGTTTGAGTTCTGGATGCCATTTTTTGGAGTAAAATCCTCTTCGGAAAACGCAGTAACCATATCTTCAATATCCTCCTCAGTGAGGACGATGTCACCCTGATATTTGCCACTGTTCTCCCATGGGCTATTCCACGGGTATTTCCTCATATTCTCCTCAAAAGTCGAGTCATTCTTCTCTGTAAGTGAACAATTAAGATTCGATGAAGTAACACGACATGAATTTTGCAATTTCTAAAAAAACAGACCACAAAGTGCGGTACCTATGGCAGTTGACAAAATTTTGAACTATGAACAACTTCAGGAGTCGAAGAAATAAATTCCAATAACTTTTTCAGAATAATTGAGAGATTTTCTGTAATACAGTTTGTAATCTTACAAAGATCCGCAGCAAGCGCATAGAGAAATTCATAAGATCTGCTGACTCGTTCCGTAGCTCAGTTGGTAAAAGCAGTAACCACAATGAGGCAACTGACACTGGTTCGGGTCATGACGGATCGAAGGAACATTCTTTGTGTTTGTTCGATATTTTTATCAATAATAATAACACACCAGAGGTGTGAAACTGCTGGACGTCAATGTGAAAGAGTTCGTCCCGGGAAATACTTAACCTATTCCTTATTCCTCCCGCCAAGCATTAATGTCAGCCCAGTTTTTTTAGGGGTAAGGGTACTAGTGAAATTACTGCCACATGGTACTTGTTAACGTATGCCTCAGGGTGACAAGCGCAGTGGCAGTGCGATTTAAAGCTCTGAGCGGCACTGCTACTGTTATGGACAGGCGTGTAGCTTACCATCAGGCGCACGACTTGTTCGTCCCGTCACTTGATATTATATAGAAGAAAGCCAGTACATTTATAACAGATTAGTACAGATTTATAACAAAAAACATAGGAGAATTTTGACAACTCGGTAACTTGACCTGTGGTTCAGTTGTTAGGAGCAATGCTACGGTGCAGCATGATCGTGGGTTCAAGACCCATCGGATCGAAGAAATAAATTTTCCTATGTATCCAATCTTTGATTTAACGATTATAACAAAACTAGTGGAGTTGTTATATCACAAAAATCTCAATATTCCCAAGAAATAAACGAACGTCATCGTAGTCAAAAACATCATGATATTCAGTAAAAGAAAAATAGAACAATGAAGTAACTTACCGGACCTGACATCTCGCAGGAATTGCCTGAACGAGTCAATCTCGTCCCTAGACCTTGTTGGAAGGGCAAGGGAGGACCCAATTAGGCAAACCAGAGCAAGAAAACACAGCATTTTCACAGCAGTTTTCGTCAATTGACGATTATCCTGCTCCACGGGTCCTTTTATACTAACTAGAGGTTAAAACGGATTAAAATCAGTATTAACAATCTATCGAAAATTAATCGTCTTCCTTAAAATAGATAACTATTGTTTTTTGTTATACGCTCGTTATCAACCTGATTAGTTTGCTATTTGGAATTGCTTAGACGTGTTTTACTGAGGCGAGTTACCGGAGGAGAAGCGGGAACTGTTTTGCTAGATTAAAAAATACCGGATAATATTTGTGACAGAAAGAATACCTTTATCACATCACACCAAAAAAATTATCATGTAAGTGCCTAAGAGCTCGTGCAGCATGCCGGCGATCTTTCGCAACTGCGGTCGAACCGATTCGCTGCGTCTTGTTTAAATATGTAGAACTAAATTAGTGCAGCGTGCCCGCCACCGGCGACCAATGGTCGTGAGACTTGCAGCCAGTGATGCCAGATTAAGTGATTTCCCGCCATT